TTCTTTTAATATTGACCCATTTCTAAGGTTTTATTATTCGAAATACTTTGTAATTGAGAGGAATAAAATTTGAATGTGGTATGATTTTCTCTAGTCCCACAGATTGGCGCCCAAGGTTTGCAATTTGAAAAATTTTCCTTTGATATGATGTCAATATTAAAAATACTTCGTACTAGGGAAAAAGAGTTGTAATTTATTTGAAGTCCTGGAAAATGGCGCCCAAGATGTTTGCCCGAATGTTGCTGTGCGGTATTTCGGCCCATTCCCGGCGAAGCGCTTTCTTGAGGTGATCCACACTTTGGTATTTTTTAGTGCAACAGTCCAACGGATTGGTATCCGGAGACTTTGGTGGCCATTGTGCGTTGGAAATGAAGCGAGGAACCCTAGTTTGTGACCATTATTGGGTGGGTGCTTACTCCTGTTGGGTGCTGAGTCCTGTTGGAATGTCCAAGGTCTGCGGCCTAAATTTTTGCGTGCCCAGAGCTTTAATAAACGCTCCAGAATATTTTCGGAGAGCGACCATCGGTTGTTATGGCGGCCCACACCATCACCGTGTCCGGCGCTTGAGTTCTGGTGGCCAACCGCCAACCGCCATTTCTGCTGATGTTGTTGTTTTATTCCGTCCCCTTCTTTGACGTCGGTCTACGCGATGGTATGACACAAAAAAAGTTTTATTCACATTCAAATGCTGGAGTGCTCTAACGATAGTCACTTGTGGTTTTCCAGCCAAATATAAAGAAACCCCTCTATCACGCTTGGATACCATCACGAATAACCTTTTTTCTGAAAAATTCTCACTTTGCTTGCTCTTGTATGCTTGTAAACAATATAATGAGCTGTCACTGGAATAATTTTAACAGCTGTTGGGCGAGTGGCTTAGAAATGACAGCAGTCTGAAATTGGTTGGAGTTTTTTTCATCTCACCCTGTATATTAAATTTATTGACCGTCTTAGTCACCTCCATTGCCTGCATTTCCACATTGTTTCCACCTCAAATAAGTTCACCTGCACTCTGTCATTTTTATGTTTATATGACAATGTTGATTTATGGGACTAGTTACTTTAAATCCTTTCATCAATTGATAACAATAAAATAACTACAAAATACAACCCGCTGATAAGGGAACACCTGCTTATCTAGACGAATTTTATCTCCAGACATTTTTATGAACACAGACACATGCATACTTATGGACATGGTGGTGAGACATAAAATAAAATCTGACAGCAATTACTATTCTCTCGGTATTAAAAAGTTAATATCGTTTATTTGTTTATATAAAAATGATGTTCGTCATATCACTTGGTTTGTTTAAAATTTGACTATCAATCAAAAAATTGGAGAAAAAATGTCATTATATCAAAAAATTCCAAAAACGCACATACACATGTGAAATTCTATATCCTGGCAGCTACTGTAATTTATCACAATCTCGTGTGGTAATCAGACAAATTGACAGGCGAACAGACAGACAGGGACATAAACATGAAGTAATTAAAGTTGGCCGATCAAAAACCAGATAATAAAGTAAGTTATTAAATGCATGAAATTTGTTAGAGGACAATTGACGCGGGCGGTTCAGCCCACACCACCAGCTTTGCGTGATTGACCAATGGAACACGAAAACCACAGGCATTTAGATAAATTGTTGTAAGGTCATGATTGGAGTCCTGATTTGGAGACACGTGAAGGGAAATGTTTTCGAAGTTTACATGGTTTTAATAAATAACAAGTTGAAAAGTATCAGCCGATTTTGCCGACAGATCTTTTTGTATTTTTTTGTTTAAATATAAATTGGCTTGCTCTATGATTATTCAAGCTTTTCAGCTTTTATGGCCAAAATTTTCCATTTCGTGTCTGACCTAAGTCTGACTGTTTCCTGTACTTTATATGCGATATGTGATAATTTTTGGAAAATGTTTAAATTCACGATGTAGATGGACCAAACTATTGCACTTCATCTAATACTGATAAAAATATTTGGATGTGAAAAAAATATAAATAAAATCGAAAACGTATTTACAATTCAATAGGAATAATTGTTAGAAAAATGTTTAGCCAGAAGTAAATGAATATTACAGGGCGAGATAAAAAACTGCAACAAAGTCAAACGCTATAATTTTTATCTCTTTTTTTAAATTATATTGAATGAAAGCAAAAAATTTCGGAAATAGCATCAAATTTTAGAATAAGTTTAGATTTGTTCGAATTGGTCACCTTAGGCACGAATTATGGCCTTCAAATGGCCAATGAAACCGTCACACGCTGCCCGAATATTGCTCTGCGGTATTTTCGCCCATTCCCGGCAAAGCGCTTGCTAGAGGTGATAGACGCTGTGGTATTTGTTAAAATGTCAACCTCGCTTTCCAAATTACTCCAGACACAATAGTCCAACGGATTGGTATCCAGAGATTTTGGTGGCCATTGTGGGCTGGAAATAAAGTGAGGAACCTCATTTTGTAACCATTTTTAGGTGGCGCGTGCTGAGTGCGAAGGTGCTGAGAACTGTTGGAATGTCCAAGGTCTGCGGCTAAAATGTTTGCGTGTCCAAGGCTTTAATACACCCTCCAGAATATGTTCGCGATAATATTCGGCATTTATTCTGATGCCACGGTCGATTATCGGCCCATCGACCATCAGCTGTTATGGCGGCCCACCCCATCACCGGCACTTGAGTTCTAGTGGTCAACCGAAGTTGCACCATTTCAGCTGACCACTTGGCAAGTAAACACGATCATTTTGTTTGTTTACAAACTGCTGGACAACGAATGTTTTCTCATCGGAGAAAACCAAATTCGGCAGTTCACCACTTTCGGCCAAGCGAAGCAACTCTTTAGCTCTTTTGAGTCTATTTCCTTTCTGTTGCGGTGTAAGTTCTTGCACTTTTTGGAATTTCAATGGCTTTACCCCGAGCTCATTTTTCAATATTTGCCGAATGAGTTTTAAAATTGTACGAAAAGTACTAAGTAGTACTAACTTTGGTTCACTTTTGGTGTCCAAAATGGAGAGATGTAGATTGTTTTTGGATATGCCTACTAAGTTATACTAAATTTGGTATTTGGTGAAGGGATAGAGGTAAAATTCTGAAATTTAAAATTTAGGCCACTATTGGTTTCTAAGGTTTACATATGGGTTTACATTGAAATATTTTCGGATAGAAAAATTTGAGGTGGGTCCATTGTGCCATGGTTTTACTAATATCCTTCAAAATGAAAGATTTTGAAGCCTTTATGGTGTAAAAGGCAAACATCTTCCCATTATTCGTATCGAAAAAGAAAAAACGGGCACGAAAAAATGAAAAAATAAAAGCGGGCACTTGCTAGTTGTTAAGAAATTCATGATAAATTATTTTTTTTAATTTAAATATAGATTTCTTTTAAAATTTGAAATTTAGTTGCTAAAAAAACACTTCAGAGGAATTTATAAATAGATCTTGAACTGTGGTTACAAAAGTACCCAAAAATCATTTCTAATATCGATTTTTACTAAGACAGGACTTCAGGAAAGACTTATAAACCACGAAATTGTAGCAACATTGTTTTCAAAAACAATATTCTGAAAATTCACAAGGAAACTAATAAGTGCGAGTTGTTCTGAACGTCTCTCAGAAAACATAACTAATATAAGAATAAAGCACCGATTATCGGTCCTAATTGTTTTGTAAATTTGATATTCCTTAACAAAGACTTTTTAAAAAACTACGTTTGACAGTCCTCCACAAGAATTTTGCGATGGTAATTTTCAAAATTTGAAAAAAAAAAGGCCAAATCAATTGATATATGGAATTGGCAGTTCGTCTAACTCTTCCTATTTTTATACCCTACATCACAAAGTGGTCAGGGTATTATGTCTTTGTGCATTTGTTTGTAACAGGCAAAAGGAAACGAGATAGACCCATAGTTCCTTTTGATGATCTGCATAGAATCACATTCTGAGTCGATTTATGCATGTCCGTCCGTCCGCCTGTCCATGTATTTTTGTAAACAAAGTACAGTTCGCATTTATTGTCCGATCCAGATGAAATTTTGCACAAATCATTTGTTTGGCCCAAGGACGAACCCTATTGAAATTGGAGATAATCGATCAAAATTTAGATATAGCTCCCATATATATCTTCGTCCGATTTACCTTTTATTGTGCACCAAACGTCTAATATTTGTCTAAATAGTATGGAATTTGGCACATACGACCGAATTGAGTCTAGAAGGTAGAATGTCAAATTTGGTGAGGATCGGTTCAGATATAGCTATAGCTTCCATATATATTGTTCATCCGATTTGTTATATTTGTTACCCACAACCGTAATATGCACTCCGTAACATCGATATTCAGGTAAATATATCAAATACTGCTCAGAAATATATTTGCCAAATTTTATCGAGATCGGTTCAGATTTGGATGTAGCTCCCATATATATTTTTATCCGATTTTAAATTATTTGTGAACCAAATGGGCAACACAAGTCCGAATTTTAAAGATACAAATGCTTCGGCATATTTATTCCTTTGAACTTTAAATTATAATTATAATCATAGCCTGTATGATTGAATTCTCCCATAAAAACTTTTAATTGCTATGTGGATCTCTACTAAATTAGCAAAGGGTGTAGGGTATCATAAAGTCGGCCCGCCCGACTTTAAAACTTTCTTTACTGTTTTTTTTTTTTTACTTTTAAGGGCAGTTGTCCTCCCCACTGTTATCTATGCTTATATGACTGGCTGATTTATTGGACTAGTTTGGTTCCCATCAATAGATAATACAATTTTGTAAGAAAATAATGCTGATAAGGGAACACCTGCAAAGAGTAGGTGTTTTCGTTATCGGCAATGACCGGATAATATTTGAACAGAATTCCAATGAAATAGTTTATAGCAATTACTGATAATATTTTAAATTTCGTTTCAAAAATGCGCAATTGTTACTCATATTTCCTTTGCCTGTATTTATTGCCATTATTTGCCATTAAAAACTATAATATGCTGTCTTCCTTCTTTTCCAGATTAAAAAAAAAAAAACAAATCATCAACCATAATATAGTTCAATAGATCTCACATTATCTACACAAAACACTTGCTTCATTGATTTCCCCTCCACACCCACAATGTGCCTTTCAACGCCCACAACCGCCACAGATACCTCCAACGGTGATACAAAATCAGGGACTGCAACAGCAGCAGCAACAGCAACAACGTCATGTTCGTCATCTAGTCAATGTCCAAATGCCGCAGCGTGTAATCTTAAACCAAATCAAACGCCCACACAATTCGATTGTAACGGTAATGAGAAGTCACTCGACAGCAGTATTATTCATCGTAAGACAGCAACCAAAGATACGGCGACCACCAACGACAACAGCAACACCTCCTCATCATTGGGCTATAGCGAGGAGAATGCCGTCTATAAGGAAATCCAGAAATCAGCCAAAGATTCGAAAGATGCCATCGCAACAGAAGAATACAAACCAAAGATCCGATGGCCAGATTTGGGTGCACAACTATTCCTGCATTCGGGAGCAGTATATGGCCTTTATTTGTTGTTCTCAGCAAAATTGTACACATTTGCATGGCGTAAGTAAAGCAAATATTTTTTTGATTTTTATTCATTCACAGGGATCAAATTTCTTTGCATTGATTTTAAAAAGTAGCTCAAACATCCATAGAATGGTGGAGGGTATAAAAATACTCATTAGAGGACTGACTACTAACACATTATTTTAACAAGGGCATGTCGCTCGAAATAAGTAGTTCTTTTTGACTATAATGAGTACACATTTGTTGATTTTTGTACCGTACAACACCATGTTGTGGGGGTTTTATAAGTTTGATTGGGCCAAAAATTATGTAACACCTCGAAATATTGGTTTCCCACATAGGAAAGTATATATGAATCTTCCTATCTCGCCGAGCTGAGTCGATCTTACTATGTATGTTCGTTTGTCAGTCTGTCCGTCTGTCCGTCTGTCCATGTTAATCTGTAATCACTCAATAGGTCGCAATTATGGCCCGATCCAGAATAGAAGCCTATTGCTTTTGGAGACGATTGCATAAAATTAAGGGGTTGTAATTGACAGAAAACTGGTAATTTTTTTGATTTTGTAGTTGCTCTACAGGTCGCAATTATGTACCAATCGACGCGGAAGTTAGCATGGAGCTAGAGTTTAAGGCTGAGCAAAAGCCTTCCAATTTTGATGGTCATTGGCTAATATTTAGTGGGTGAAATATACCATAACATTTGTGTTAAATAAAAGTCAAATTTTCCATTAAACCGCGAATATTTATTTTTGATCCCGACGAAATCACAAAAGACGAACAGATAAATTCTGACCGTTAAGTAGATGCCGGTAGTAATATATCGGATATATATTTATATAGCAAAATATATAAAATCTTCATACACAAAGGAAGTGGATGTTAGCTAGAATGCTTATATTTCAAGAATGGCGCACCGATTTTGACAAATTTTGTCAATTCAGAATGCCCTTTTGGTATAAAAGTATGAAATCTAAAAAAATCGCATAAAAAGACGCCAATACTGATGTCAATATAGATTTTGTAGTATTTTTTGAAATTTTTTTTATTTTTTTATACCCTCCACCATACTATAGAGGGTATATTCACTTTGTCATTCCGTTTGTAACTCCTCGAAATACTCATGTCAGACCCAACAAAGTATTTATATTCTTGATCAGCGTAAAATTTTAAGTCGATTTAGCCATGTCCGTCTGTCTGTCTGTCTGACCGTCTGTCTGTTTTAATCACGCTATCTTTCGAACGAATTGAGATAGAAGGCTAAAACTTTGCACGTGTTTATTTTTCAAGTAGGCTCGTAAATGGGCCATGTAGGTCCAAGTTTTCATATAGCCCCCATATAACGGTACCTCCCGATATTCGGTACTTTGATGATTTTAGCGACACCGGAATTTTTTCAACTTTGGTATTTGAAGTTCGAAATGGATACTACAACCTATGACAGAAAATTATCTGGGCAGGTTCACGTCTTCGTATAGCCCTCATATAACGGTACCTCCCTATATTCGGTATTTTGATGATATTAGCGACATTATTCAACGGAATTGTTTCAAATTTGGTATTTGAGATTCGAAATGGATGCTACAGCCTATGACAGAAAATTGTCTGTGCAGGTCCACGTCTTCGTATAGCCCCCATATAACGGTAACTTCCAAAATTCGGTATTTTGATGATTTTAGCGCCATTATTCACCGGAATTGTTTCAAATTTGGTATTTGAGATTCGAAATGGGAACTACAGTCTGTGACAGAAAAATGTCTATGCAGGTCCAGGTCTTCGTATAGGCCCCATATATCAGTACCTCACTATATTCGTTATTTTGACGAGTTTAGGTACAATACCCACCGAAATTGTTTGAGATCTCGTATTTGACGTTAGTAATGGATGCTATAGCCTGTGACAGAAAATTGACTATGCTGGTCCAGGTCTTCGCACAGCTCCGATATAATGGTACCTCCCTATATACGATGTTTTGATGATTTTAGCTACATTATTCACCGTTTATTTCAAGTTTCAAATTTGAATATGGTAATGGTTAATGGCAAACAATGCCTATGTAGGTCCACGTCGGATAGACCCCAATATAACGGCAGTATTCGGTATTTTTAAAATTTAACAGAATTTTTTAAGGATTTTATTTTATTTAAAATTTCCAAATTCGTTCCAAATGGTGGAGGGTATTCAAAGTTTCGCCCGGCCGAATTTACTGCTTTTTAACTTGTTATATTTTTTATCGCATGCAATTTTTTAAGTTTGGTTATAGGCCAAATATGAAGTACACATTTTGTAAAAATTTTAACCTTACAACACATGTTAGGGTTATTATATACAGATTGCAATTATCGCCCGATTCTCACAAAAATTTTCACAAGGGTAGGGTTAGGCTCAGAAGGGCTAGGCCTATTGTTTTCAAAGATACCCACAATATATTTAGGGGTTGAAATTTACCAACAACTAAAAATGTTCCTGATTTTGCTGCCGTTATTAGGGTCAAAAATAGAAGAAGAAGGACACGAAATCTCGCATAAAGTTAGAGTTTAGGACAGCGAGTAGAATGGACCACTACTTCTTTGTGAAAAAATACCAACAGTTCCATTCTACCCAAAACGCTAAACACCATACAGGCGAAATCTAAAATACACAAAAGGCGAACTTCTGGCTTTTTATGCTGATTTCGTTGACGAATATAGACAGATATCGTAGATGGGGGTCTCTTGCATTTGGAGATGATCGCAAAATATTTAGGGGTTCAAATGATCTAAAAAACACAAAAAATTTCCTGATCACACAATTGAAGTCAATCGACACGGAATTTTGCATGAGAAGGGAGTTAAGGACAGGGAAGAAGTCTAGCATTTTGGATGGCCATTGGATTATATTTAGGTGTAAAATGGATTACAACAACTAACAGCACGCCGGAGTGCGTAAATATTGGGCAAATGCTCCTGGTCAAAAAGCTTACATAATTTCAACAAGTTAAAAAGCAATAAGTTCGGCCGGGTCGAACTTTGAATACCCTCCACCATTTGAAACTAATTTGGAAATTTTCAAAAAATAAAGTCCTTAAGAAATTCTGTTAAAATTTTAAACATACCGAATAAAGCCGTTATATTGGGGTCTATACGACGTGGACCTATATAGGCCTTGTTTGTCATAAGCTATTACCATATTCAAATTCGAAACAATTTTCTGTCACAGGCTATAGCATCCATTACGAACGTCAAATACGACATTTCAAAAAATTTCGGTGGGTATTGTACCTACCGAATATAGGGACGTACTGATATATGGGGCCTATACGAAGACCTGTACCTGCATAGACAATTTTATGTCACAGACTGTAGTTTCCATTACGAACTCTAAATACGTAATTTGAAACAATTCCCTTAAATAATGTCGGTAAAATCATCAAAATACCGAATATCGGGAGGAATTTATATATGGGGGCTATATGAAAACGTGGACCTACATGGAAAAATAAACACGTGTGCAAATTTTAGCCTTCTATCTCATACAGGACAGACAGACGAACATGGTTAAATCGACTTAGAATTTTACGCTGATCAAGAATATATATACTTTGTTGGGTTTGACATGAGTATTTCCAGGAGTTACAAATGGAATGACAAAGTTAATATGCCCTCCATAGTATGGTGGAGGGTTTAAAAACGAAATCTTCAAAAATGGATTTGGGCATAAGCGGGCTTCTACCATATTGTAGTGTTGTAGGGTATCACATGGTCGGCCCCGCAAGACTATAGTCTTTGCTTACTTGTTTATTATTATTATTTTTAGCTATCAGTTTAATATCTTACATTGTTTTGCAAACGTCAATTTTTTTATTTATTTTCTTTACCAACAACTATCTTAGATACGCTTTAATAAACCCTGGCATAACAGCCCAGTAACAGCCAAATGTTATTATTTTCATTCGCGGATGTTATTAAAATATATTTTTATCTTATATTTCTAACAACTTTTTATTCTACACCACCAAGCCACAATAAAACAACCATTAGTAAGCATTTTCTAAATTTATTAATAAATATTAGTATTTATCATCCGACCATGCTTCCAAAAAATGAAATAATACAAAATATGTTTGTCTGGCTATTCGATAAGAATAAACAAAACAAAACAAACAGACACACACACCTACACGCCAAAAAAAAAAAAAATAACGATAAGTCTCAGACATGTTACGCCTGTTGTTATTGACGCGATGACGATGACGACGCTCTCGGAAATTTTCAAAACAATCATCGTCAAGTTAAAAAACAAAATTGTATTGAAATGCCAAAGTGGATTTAAAACTTGTGAATTGTTTAAATACATTAATGTAGACGGAAAGTGGGTTATTACGAAGGGGTTGTACACTGAGAGAAAAATTTGGAAAAAGAAGTAGAAGGAGAAGAAATGAGGAAGGGCAGCAAATAAAATTGCTAGAAATTTTTGTAGGATATTTATACCCTACACCACATAGTGGTAAGGGTATTATGTCTTTGTGCATCTGTTTGTATCATGGAGAAGGAAGCGAGATAGACCCATAGTTACTTTTGGAGGATATCCATAGAATCACTTTCTGAGTTGATTTATGCCTGTCAGTCCGTCTGTCGGTCCGTCCGTCCGTCCGTCTGTCCATGTATTCTTGTGAACAAAATGCAGGTCGCATTTATTATCCGATTGAGATGAAATTTTGCACATATAATTTGTTTGACCCAAGGACGAACCCTATTGAAATTGGAAATAATCGGTCAAAATTTAGATATAGCTCCCATATGTTCGTCCGATTTGCCTTTTATTGTGCACCAAAAGTGTAATATCAGGCCGAAAATTATGGAATTTTGCACATAAAACCAAATTAGGTCTGAAAATAAGTATACCAAATTTGATCGAAATCGGTTCAGATATAGCTATAGCTCCCATATATATTGTTCATCCGATTTATTATTTTTGTCCTCCACAGCCGTAATATGCACTCAGTAACAACAATATTTGGGGAAATATATCAAATGCAGCTCAGAAATATCTTTGCCAAA